ACTAAAGAGGATCGCCCTCCCAGCCCAGTGAACTTTAACGAATGTTTATATGAGGAAATAGTTAACCTCTTAGCCAGTGCATGTTCTGATTATCTCCCCTTGTTCTGGCTAGGAGAGCCAAAGTGTTAAGACGGAAGGCACCAGGAAACTGAGAAATTTTTATTTTCGGTGAACAAAAACCTTATACCAAAATAATCTAAAGCATACTGCACTCTTTTACATTTTTCAAGGACTAAAGATGTAATTAGTCATCTGTAATAACAGCAAAGAAAATTTCTCATGGGAGCCTGAGAAAATAAATGTCAAATCTCACAAAATGACCTTACACATGAAATTTTCAGAATTTTACCTGTGTTTTCACAATCCTTGTGAAATTTTACATTTATTTTCTTGGGCTCCAATGAGAAATAGTCTTTGGAGTTATTACAGGCAATTAATTAAATCTACAGCCCTTGAAAAAACAATGCGATATTGTTTAAATTATTCTGATACAAGGTTTTTGTCCACTTAAAACTAAAATTACTCAATTTCCTGCTGGATTCCGTCTTAATATGGAGAAAAGATGGTGACCCTACAACCACAAAAGGGTGACGTAGCTAAGCCAGCGACCCTTCTATCCCGAACAACTTCGTTTATTTATACTCTCTCAAATAGGCCACTTCCGTCTCCCAAATACCTTCACTTTCAAAATGAGGCCACGTGCACAATCTTTCTTGTGAAAATGAGTTTTAGTTGAATGAGAATGAAAAATCATTTCAATATCAAAGGATGAGTACTTAACCTCGTTTTGATGCAGAGGCCCGGGAGAACTCGGAAATGGCCTATTTCAGAAGACTAGGATCTCTAGGGGACTAGGGAGAAGTGAAGTGACAAGGGCGCATAGCATCTCATTGAATCCCCTACATCGACAAAATAGCCACAGGGATAGCAACTACTAAACCAGAAATGCAGAGTAACATTATTTTATTGGAAAATTGTATTACAACTTTATTGTTTACAGGACGTATTTGAATATCTCAATATTGACTAACCCTCTTATTTTCAGAAACATAATTAGGTTCACTGAAGACCTTAACATGGTACAGTTTGCCTCGGGCTCACGCGAATTGTTCGTTTAAATCAGAATGATTCGATTTCGTAACCAAAAAGACATTCCTGAATAACTGTAACAGATACTAGACTGACAAAACTGCCGACATTTGGCCACGTTACCACGGGTTTTCCCCGCCAGATGACGTCTAAGAAACGAGCGCAGAAATTCCATACTGACGACGAGTCACTACCCAGATCTGGGTAGTGCTTCTGATTGGTTAACTCCAATTTCCCACGCGGCACGACCAATCAGAAGCACTTTCCAGATCTGGGTGGTAACGCGTCATCAGTACGGAATTTCTGCGCTCATTTCTCAGACATTTGGCGGAGAAACCAGTGGCAGTGTCGCCAAATGCCGGCTGTTTTCTCAGGCTATAACAGCTACTTGACGCCTTAAACTCGTAAACAATTCACTAAGAGTAAATTAAGGAGTTTTAGATATCAGATGCTAGTTGGCACCTTGAGGTTGCGAGTAAGACTGGATAGGTGTTTTGTCGTGTTGTACTATGGGATACCCTGCATAGCAAGCGTTTCCGCGCGAGTTCGTCAACTTTCGGGCAATAACGCGATTGGAAACGCTTGCTAACTATGGGACTGTTTCTGACAACGAATTTTTTACCCAGTTTACCTTGCGATTTCTTAGTAGCCAATAAAAAGCGACAGCGTCCTAAACACAGCCCTATAGTGGATTAAAGAATAACATGCTAACTTTTTAGCATGAAAAGGAAAAAAGAGAAAAGACGTTTTTATCAAAACAAGGTCAACCTCAGCCTCACGTTCACTCAAGGGCTTGGGTACCAAGCTCCTAACTGTTAAATGGTCTATCGTGAAAGTTTTCAAGATTTTCTTAACATCAAGAAAGTTTAAATAGGACAGCAACAAAAGAAAGTTACACAAGGCAAGAGAACACTGAATTTTCTAATAGGTTATAAACATTGTATCGTGTTTGATTAACTACCCCGGGTTAACCCCTACCATGAACTGGGCATACGGAGAGGCTCCACCCCAAATGGGTCTCAGGTTTTTGAAAAAAAGAAAAAACACTGCACTTACAACAGCCAAAAGGGGTGCAGTGTTCTGAAATAAGTATACGAAAGGGGTACCGTTTGTCGATGGAAAGTATAGTGTATATATACGTGAGGGGTTCTTTATTTTATTAAGAAATGGGATATAAAAGAATATGGAGTTGGACCTCAGGGCGGAACCTCCCCTTATTAAACTTTCTTGATTGCGGATATCAACACGTCGTTCTCTTAAACTTTGATGTCGCCGATTCGTGCCGCGAGCTTGTTGTAAGCACATCACAAGCGAGAAACTTAATCTGAGGCCGACTTTGGCTGGCTTGCAACCAAACATAAGCCGCGGATAGGCTAAAGCACCAATTCGAACGTAGACTTACGGTATGCACCAAGGGCGTACTAGCAAATAAATTGCATTGAGTTTTTTTTCGTGTTTTGAAAAATGGACAATCTTCGATATATTAAATGCACATTTCGCTATTGCGGGAATACAACAAAAGAAATCACTCTGAGTTTCTGTGAATGCATTTCTTTCTTTCATTCTCCTAAGCCACTTGGCGCAGCACGAATTTAAGCATAACGAAAATGGTCTATTAGAATCCTTTATACCCAAATGGCGCATAAAAATGGCGGTAATATACACTTCAATACAAGGCAAAATGAATAAGAGAGAATAAAAGATTGTTTTATTTCGGAATAAATGACAGATATTCAAAGCTTCGAGATTAACACTTCCATTCCTGCAAACAGCAACTAAGCTGGCTGCGGTGTTGGTGGCAAGCATCCCTCTCCGTGATCATCAGTAAGCCCCAATTGGCAAGGCACGAAACCAGTGCCTAGTGCTGAGGAATTCAAGGTCCTAAAAAAAATCAAGAGTAGTTTTACGGCAAGCTTTACAGTGGAAAATTGTAAAATCCAAAGCATAACGCGTGAGGAAAACGCTAGGGAGGGAGGTAAAGGAGGGGGAGCTGTGGCTTTTGCGTTTACTAAATGGACACCTTTCTTGCGAGACTTCGAGACTTTAAAGGATAATTTCGTTCGATGCTCAATTAACTTTCAGCGTCAACGTTAAGCCTGGTTTCCATATGATCGTCTGGATCGGCCCAGTCGTTTCAAAAAATTTCGAAGACGATCCGGACGACTGGGACGATTGGTGGTTTCCATATGATTATCTCGATCGCCTCAACGACAGGAGACGCCGGGTCGTCAGCGATGTCTCCGGGTCAGAAAATAGAACTTTTGCGTGTGTTTCGCAAACAAGCCATCAACATAATGATGGATTTTAATCGGAGAGCGAACCTCGTGCCTTATTGTTTACGGAGGGGCGCGTATGGGTTTGCGGTGATGCGGTTTTGCGTTATTTTTGGTGCGGTTTTGCGGTAATTTTTATTTTAACTCGCGGTATTGCGGTTTCAAAACACTAAGCGGTTTGCGGTTATTACAACCTTTAAGTCGCGGTTTTCGGTGAAAAAAAAGTGTCTGCGGTGATAACACTCTTTAGAACGGTCGGCATCCGGTTGTTTTGCAAGCATGTTTTGTTTTACAACGCATCAGGGTTCATTATATCAGCTTATAATTTAACTCTGTGGTTTGCAATTACGGCCTTTTCCAGTTAATACTTAATGCGATTAACCGTTTTGGCCAATGATGTGTCGACTTCGTGAAATTCCATGCCGGATACTAGCTCGTTCAGCTGTACAGCCTCGTGTTCTCGTTGTTTTGATTCAATGCGCGACAATGGCAACTGAGGTCGTCGAGGTCGCAACTGGAAGCGAAGAGGACGTAATAATTAATTGCGCGGTAATCTTCTATGAAGAAGGAAAGGAAGGGGAGAATTTCAGAAGAGCTGTACGTTTTAACAATCGTCTTCTCCACTGAACATGAACTCTTTACGAGACAAGAAGGTCACAATTCCAGAAGAAACATTTATTCCGCGTTCCACAACTAGCACAGGGTCGTCCAAAGTAATCAGTCACCCAATGTAAGACGTACAGGATCAGTGACAGAGTTTTTCAAAGTCAAGGGAGATATCAATACTCGTTCAAGTACATAACCAGCATACTTGGCATTTGGTTAGTAGTAACTTGTGGAGTATAATTGTGTAGTACAATATATCGTTAGCGTTATGATGGTATGTTTAATACTAACGCACAATGTTATCAGAATATATCACAAGTCTTGCTGACGTCATCTTTCATACTGTGGCCTATATGTACGCGCGGTTTCGGTATTCGGGAAAAAATCCGATGCGGTTTGCGGTTGTTTGGCGTATTTCTGTGCGGTCATTGTTTCAAAGAAAGTTTTTTTTTTTTCAACAAGAGTGCCTTTCCATCAGCTCTTTTACCTGATTCTATGGCTGAAGGAAGGGAGAAAAAAGAAATTTGAATATCGATTTACAGGTAAAGAAACCAAGTGCTTTTGTGACAAATTTATGTTTCTTATTGATTCCCTAAGGAGAGGAAATGACATGGGGCCTGAATCACTTAGACTTAGGGACGTACAAAAGTACGGAAGTACAAAAAAAATATTAGCGCAAGGGAAAATTAAATGAAAAAATTTATGCACGGCAATTAAACCTAAAAAATATTCATGCCATGTCCTAAAAAAAATCCATACAAGGAATTTGATAACGAAAAAAAATTCCTGCGGCTCGCTTATGTCAGTTGCTTTTGCTGCCCTGCAATTACGTGATGCAGTATCAAAATTCAGTAGAGTTGAAACTAATGCAGCAATTTGTCAAGAACTTAAGGTTCACTGCCAATTATTCTTTAACACTTGTTCCCTTCTTATGAAGTCAGTCACTCTACAGTGCGGACTGTGAGATATGCAATTCCATTCCACAATGCAGCATTGTTTCGAGAATTTGGATTTGGCCTTGGCATTAACACTATGCAAGGCCGCGAGGCCAAGCATGTAACTCTGTCATCATTTGCACGTCATGCAACACTCTCAACTCGGTGGAGCTTAGTCATGCGCCATGAGTACATCAGCTCTATCTGGCTTAGGAAAATTGACCCGTTTCATTTTCGGTATGCCAAGTGTAAGGATAAGTACGTACCAAAAGAAGCTCATCTCCCTGAGTTTTGTTATTGTGGTTTTAAACTAGATGAAAATAAAGCCAAATGTTTTTGCTGTTCCTCAAGCCTTTATGAGGCTGTTTCTAGATCTGCAGAGAAAGGAGAACTTGATGATGAAACCTGCAACATGCTTAGTGTATCTTCATAGACTTCATGAAACTGTTGCTTCTTACATTGCAAATGCAGAAGATAAAAATATAGCAACTAAAATTGACAATTGTTACAACTTTCATGGGCAGCTGTCAAACATCATGTTTCCCAAACAACAATGCTACAAATACTAATTGACTCAGATCGAAAAATTGTTGGATTTTTTAATTACTGAACGCAACATACAATGTTATTAGAGTGCT